GGGGGGGGGGGGGGGGGGGGGGGGGGGGGGGGGGGGGGGGGGAGGGCAACCAGCAATGGAACGGATGGAGACGACTGGCGGGGAAAGGAGCGCTAAAGCCGAAGCAGAAACGAAACGAACCCAAACGAAAACGAAGCACAAAACAAACCAACCACGCTGCAGCAAAGCGCGCCAAACACTTGGCAGAAAAACGCCCTCCAATCGAAAAGAAAAGACGAACAGGGCTGCTCGGGGAGAGAGAACGATTGACCACGCTCCGAGCCCGGCTTACCAAGCTCCACGCAACATAACAAACCATCTCCCACGCCAGATGATGAAAAAAAAACACAACAGACCCCAAGAAGGAAGGCCCGTGACTAGAACTACTGATGTTGCTCACCGGGCGAAGGGAAAGGTTCATGACGCTGGCCGCCTGGAAGGCCACCCTGTGGGCCCGGGCCTCACGGGCACCTCCTCCCTGGCCAGCACCGCGCGCACGCGCATGTGGCCGTACCTGTAGAGGTCCTTGCCCTTGTGGCGCCCGGGCACGCTCGGGATGAGCGTCGCGTTGGCGGAAGAGAAGTCGTAAGCGAAGAGGCTCCTGCCGGGTGGGAGTGGCGGGGGGGCGGCCCAGTCCGGCACACGCAGCATTGGCGTAGGCGGGATTTGGGTGGGGGGCTAAGAACAAACAGCCCCGCAAAGAGAGAGAGGAGAGGGGCATCGTATGGATGCTGATCAGTTCTTTTGATCCAAGAGAGATTGAAAGTACCGCGTCGATGGCTCCGGGAAATGGTATCGCGCAATGAATCTGCATGGCGCCTGTCGCTCGAGGCACCATGAGAGGCCAAAACCTAGGGTGGATAAAAAGCCCAGCCCGCACTCTCTCCACGAAAATCAACGGATTGATTCTTCTGGGTCGCCGCAGAATGAAAAAAAGACAAAGCAGGTGTCCTACCTCCCCCACACGGCAGCCGGGCCCCCCACGTGCTCGAAGTAGTCGATCAGGATTTCCTATTGGGCAAAGGTGTGCAACAGCGTGGGAAGGGGGGGGGCCGAAGACGGACGGGTGTAGGAGATGTAGAACGCGGCGGCGCGGGCATAGACATGACGCTGTATTGGAGGGGAGCGGGGAGGGTGCGCAGACGATCGCGCCAGTCTCGGCGGTAAGCAGATCTCTCACAACAGCAAATAGGCCGGGGGAAGGGAACAGCAAGAGTCCAATAAAGGGACAACCCCGGCGGAAAGGTTAGCACCGTTACGAGCTACATTACCCACCGCCTGGCAAGGACATCAAGTACCGGCTGCCGTGCAACAGCGACCAAAAAAGCGTGCTACAGAAGACTAGACTACATAGGGGGGGGTGTTGAGCGCCTTCCAACCAGCTGGGCAAGGTTTTCTCGACCTCACGCAGTCTGGAAACGATGTCCTACCAAAAGGACGGGGTGCAATAGCGACATAAGCCAACACGCAGGGAGAAGAACTTCTTCACTTCTAGCACACACACCATGAATCCCTGTTCCAAGCTGAAAAGAGCAGTCTGAACATCTACCTACACCGCTCCTCGTGCCCCCCCCGACGACTGCTACCACAAGTTGTCCTTGCACAGATACGCTGCCACGGCCGCCGTAGTACCTCACCCACCTCAAACTCGGAGGTGATAACCACGTCGTCGTGATCGCCTTCCCCTTCCCCTTCCCCTTCCTTCGGGTAGTCCTCCTCGCTATCACTAGCCACGCGCTTCCTCTTGCCCCCGCTCCCGGCCCCACCAGCATCATCAGCAGCGGCGGCACCACTCTCGCCGCGCCGCTTCTTCTTACCGACATCGCCCCCTTCCTCCTCCTCCTCCTCCTCCTCCTCCTCCTCCGGCTCTTCGTCGAGGATGGGCGCAGCATCAGCGCCGACGCGCTTCCTCGTCCCCGCTTTCCCTCGAGCCTTCTCCTTGCCCTTGCTCTTGGCCCGGGGAGGCTTGAACGGGAAACCCTGGTACCACGCGGCCTGGCACCGCCCCCCCCAGTCGTCCGGGCGCATGTTGCACGTCATGATTACCACTCGCACGCCGGTCTTGTACTTGAGCAGGATCATCTTGGAGTGGTGGAGGCCGATGTGAATGGTCTGTTGATGGGTTGGGGTTGGGGTTTTCATAGCACCGACGAACGGAGGAGGAGGGGGGGGGGAGGAGGAGGGGGGGGGGGGGGGATGACGAGGCCTTGACAGGGTATAGACACAGTTGATTGGAGACGATGAGCTTTCGTGGGAGGTTTGAAGCGTGGTCTCATGGACCTCGCAACAGTAGCTTAATCGCTACCCCCCCTTGCTCCCCCCCGGTGTTTACTATCGGGGTTGGGTTTTCGTCGCTTGGCAACGACGTTGTAAAACAAGCCGCCCCCCCCGGTGTTTTGCCATCGGGGTTGGGTTTTCGTC